CAAAAATTGAGGAGATGTGATTTCATTTCCTTTTCAAAACTGAAGAACAGTGTGGGGCCAAGAGTCTTTATTTTATTTGCTTAGTGAGTGATATAGAAAATGTGCTCTCCGAAGAATGTGAACACTTCAGAAAAATGGAGATCCATATAAATTGAATTAATTCTCTTTTCAAAACTAATCTCCATTCAGTGTTTCCCTTCTACTTGGATAAAAATCTGAGTAACCACACCAAAGGTTGGAAATGAAAGAAACCACTGGGTATTTATGAGTAATTAGCTTTATTAATAATTCTGTAGAATTAGGAAGAGATCTGCTTTATTTCCTGTAAATATGCAAACTTCAGTCTGACTCTCTGTTATGCTGCCTGAATGCACGGCACTAAATCAGAGGAAGCTGTTAGAGCAAAACAACAGGAAACAAAGCGGCTGCAAACACCAGGTCCTTGAAAGAACAAAGTTGAGCTGCTATTTATCATCCTTGAGTGGCATTGGAGAGAGTGAGGACCAGAAGCAGAATGCCTGCCTGCCAACATTCTAGTGGTCTGCAATATTCCCATATCTGGATTGAGGTTCAAAGCTAATTTTAAAACCCTGCCAATGCTGGGGTAGATAGAAGGGAGTCTGAGTGGCTTAAACATACTGCCAGAGTTAGTGGGAGGAAGTGAAATGCTGCTTCAGACTTGCAAAGGCAGCGAAGCCTGGAGCAAGGTGGGCAAGGCTTACAGACTCTGTCTAGGGAAGGCTGGGGTGCAGGATGAATGTGTAGCCCACTGTTCTTTTAAACCCTTTGCTTTGGGCACTGCAGGCACAGAGTGGCATAATAAAACACACTTTTGCTTTACAGAGACTGTTTTTAAGTCTCTGAAATCAAATGTTATTGAGTTTTGGGGGTATTTCTGTCATTGTAACGTTTTTCTTTGTTACAGCACTGGAAGGATGAATAGGAAACAGACCTGGCAGCAACAGCTCCTTGAATGCCGTGATCAAACAGGATCACCTACAACAAGGAGACTGAAATCCCACCTTTCATTTATAGTGTGCTCTTGAAATAAACAGAGAACATAAAAACCAGTGTAACTGCAAACAACAATGCTTCCGTATGGTCCTTCAGGGAAAGAGTGAATCCCATTTTCTGAGGTAGTAATTCCTCAGTTATGGATGTTCAAAACTTTGTCAAGCCTATGTTGGAAAAAAACACTGGAATTTAATACTTGGAGATGCCCAGGGAAACAAACATTGGTTCCTAACTGTTGATTTAATTTGTCAAAGTATTAGCAGTAATGTGTCATTATCTTAGATGTATTCTAAGCCCAGTCTTTCATATCAAAAGTAAACGTAGTGATGCTAGTGGGTCTGTTCAAATGAATTATAAATTCCTTGAAATTCTGTGACTTTAATTGTTAAACACTTCTTCTGTTTCTTTTTCTTTAAATTGCAAGCTGAAAAAGTATGCTGTCTGTAGCCAAAACCAGAAAAATTGAGCTAGTTCACAAATTACACCTAATATTATAGCATCATTGTGTATACATGTTATGCTACTTTAATCTAGGAAACAGTGCAATAGAGCACTCCAAACTCCATTACTTTAACTATTTATATGCAGAGTCCTCTGGAGGAATTTGATATATTTGTTTCACTTAACCCTGTTATGATTAAATTTCTCACATTGTGAACAGCAGGCACAGATCTATATTTCTTTTCTTTATTTCATTACTAGCTGATAATTTTATTGTATTTCATTTTGAGATTCATCTCATGAACACAGTGTGTGTTACGCATTCAGCTAGATCTTTTTTATTTTTAGATCTTGCCTGATTCACAGTAAGCTGCACAAAAAATCCAGCTAGCCACCCAGTACCTTTTGTTCTTGGAACCATTTAAAATCAATTTGTGATCCTCTCGACCCAATCTTTTCTCTTTAAAATGGATAATATTTTTTGCAAGAAAAGTTGCTGACTTGAGAACAATAATATGCTCTAAAACCATATATGCATTTTTCCTTTTAATTGGTTTTATTATATCTGTACATTTTCTTATCCTCTTCTTTGAAGATGGAATTCTATCATGAAAAACTCAAAAAAAGAACAAGTAAAGTGTCCTTTTGTGACTGCATTTAATGGAAAAGAGGCTCAAATATGGTAGCCACATGAAAAAGCTCTCCCTCTTCCCTTTCCAAGGCTAAGGAAAAAGTCTTGGATTGTGCTTTTTAAAGTTCTGAGAGAAATTGGAGTGACAAACGGTTTGTTTTGTTTTTTATTTTTTTTTCCTGGGATCTTGCCTCTCAAGAATGCCTGTTCATTTTCCATCTCTTGCAAACCTTAACCAAAGCACACTAAAAGATGGGGCTGGGGAGCACACTTTGGCAGCTCCTACTAAAGACAGTCTGAATCTTTGCCTGAGGATGTCCCAAGACCCAAGTCTGAAGTAGCCAAAGCAGCCGGAGACTACAAAAGGACTCCATAAGTCTGCCTCTGATCTTTGTCTAAGTTTGACACTCATTCAGATTCCCAAAGCTCAAAATATTTTATTGCTGCAGACAGGAGCATTTAGAAGATACCATGTACTTACTTTCTCCCATCTGTAAAGTATTCATGTGATGTTTAGAACTGAAATATAAAGTGAACTAGAAATGGATCCAGAAAATTCTACCACTTCTCATCTTCATACATGAAATTCACAAGGCACAGAAGTGTCACAGAAAAGTAATACTGATATGAAATATTTGAAAAAACAACAATAAAAACTCAACCTACAAACCAATTTAATTGCTTTTTTTTTTCAGCCCCACTGTTCCCTTTCAAACTTTGTGTGTCATTAAAAGTAATTCCTATATGGAATTGTTGTCATATTTGATCTATATATTCATGCAGTCATTGTAAAAAGTGTAGGTTGGTTTTCATGGTTCTTAAGAGGAACTAAGATAATAATTCAGAATTAATGTATTTATTCATATTGATATTGAGATCAAATTGCTATAGCAATGAAAAATTACATACAGAGATTAGTTCTCTGAAATACAATATCTACTGATCCAGTTTATCAGTTGTGTCTCGAAATCCCAGCACTTTTAACTATGCTAACCAAGACTTTTTGTTAGCTGGCATACAGAGATGTGTATTCCTCTATAAAACTGCACACAGAGAGGCCCATGAGGTTGTATCATTCTTCCTTGATACTGTGCAGACAATAGCAGTGAGCACATATATTTTAAGTCTGGCATTTGACAGATAGCACAAGATAATTTTATAATTTTCAGATCTGTAGTGCATGTTTTAGAATTCTGCTCTTATTTGTCATCCATTGATAGCTTTTCAACTCTGGTGCAACAATTAATCCTGAATAGAAACACTCTATAGAATAATGTAAGATATTAGAAAAAAAGTTGACTTGATCTGTTGCTGTTTGCTATTTGCTGTAAGTTGATAATAATTTCTTCTCATGCAGAAATAAAGATGATTAAAAGATTGTTTGAACAATAAACTAAGTATAACATTATTATATAGTATTCAGCCACAGTAGGTTGCACAGCTGTTGATATGCTGCAAACTAAAAGTACAGTTGTTTTTTTTTTTAAATATATTACATGATTGATCTGATTTGCAACAAAGGAAACAGGAATCAGATGCACTGAGTTGTAACTGTGGCAATTGGCATGTTTTCATAAAGTTCTGGTTGTCATGGTATTAAGACATTATTTAGTGTTTCCTATTGGGTGTTGAGAGGATTATCAAAGTTGGAAAAATTTTAGCAAAGGAAAGCTCTGGGACAAATTAATGTTATACAGCATTTTTACAGTAGTTGTATTTTGTTGGACTAACATTAGTACAAAACCTTTGTAGAACCACAGAATATTCTGATTTAAAGGGGACGCTAAGGACCAAGTCCAACTCCTAGAAAGAATTTACAACTTAAGACCGGTGGAAAATATTAGAATTATAGAAGTAAGATGATAATTTACAAAGAAAGAAGCGGAAGTTTTCCTAGGCAAGTAAACTCAGGAGTGTGGTATTCCTGGTTAAAAAGCTCTATCTAGAGTCAGTGATATGGAGGTACAATTATTAGTTTCTTTATTAGCGCTATTAGTGTGTTTTTCTAGGCATGTCGAGTTGGGAAAGGGAGCTGCCATTTTTCTAGAACACTGAACATGAGGAATGGTACATTTTCTTAGAATACCAAAAGAAAATTCTAATCTGAAGTATCTTCAGAGAAATGTAGTGAATGTCCAACACTTCGGAGCAGACAGCCTACTTACCTGAGTATTTTGTTGCATTTACTTTATCCTAAAAATTAAGAGTTTTCTATTTTTCTTTTTTTTTTTCTCTCTCTTTGGGAGTTGCAATAAAAGTTACTGAAGCATTCACAAAGCAGAATTTACATAACAAACAGGATTTGATCATTCAAAATTAAGATAAAAATATACATTATATAAAAATGGAACCATAAAACAGGTCTTATATAAAAGACAGCAATTACTGGCCTAGGACAATATACTTGAAGATGCATGGGTAGGCTAGACTAAGATTCTTACTAAAATTTGATGTTGGCATCTCCTGGTTAGAATTCGCATGTTCATGCCACATTTCAGGTAATTTACGTCCTCTGTATCAGTGAGAAAAATTGATGAAAGCAGAAAGCAATTAAAAAAAAATTCTGGATCTCTGTGTACTAAACCCATATCTTAAATAGTCCAGAATAGAGGGAAATTTCTCTTAATTTTTTATTTAGTTTATGCTACATCATTGCCTAGAAGTCCTAATCCAGATTAGTGACTGATGGAAAACATTAGTATTTATATACCGCAAAACAAAACAAACAGTCACTGATCTGGATTAGGACTTCTGTGGTCGTACTCAAAGGGAAAATATATAAATATGCAAGATATATATTTGCAGTGTTCAAACTGGATGCTTAGTTCAGGCACAGGATGTGATTAAGATCCTTTTCCCTGCTCTTGTTCTGCTCAGTCTTCCACTTTGGAAAACCAGAATGCTAGCGGCTTACCTGACGGATCCTGTGGTGAGTCACTGTTTTGGATCTCCCTGCCCACAATCCTTTTGGTTTTTGGACACACTGCTTCAGCCGAGCTGAGGCCAGCCAGGTCTGTGATGGATCAGAAGCAGCAGATACAAGAAAGTATTACCTAAAATCAGTTGCTTCAGAAATCAAGGAAACTGAACTTCCAAAGTTATACTACAAGGGAATTTTGTAAGACAACTGCATTCTCATCAATTATGCCTGTTTTCACTCAATGCAAATCTAGACCAGTGTATTTTTTTGTAGTGGTACAGATGCTGACTATAATAGATCTTTTGCATATGTTCCATTAGTTTAATCTGTTTTCCTTTTATCCTGAGTACAGTTTCTGCTTGGAATGAAAAGATTCTACAATTGTGGTAGTCCTGGTCTTTCTAAGTTCAGCAGCTGTTTCAAAATGTATATATACTGCATATTTTTACATACAAAACAACTTGGAGGAGAGCACAGGAAAATGTAGAATTCAAATTGATTATCAGACTAGTTTATAAATAATGAATAAAACAACAGTATATGAATGTACTATGGCCTCACATATTTATGAGATATTGCAACAAAAACATTTTATTTAATGACAGACCACTGAAAATGAGCGTCCAGAGCTAGGCAGAATTTCAGACACAGCTAAACAGTTTTCCAGTGTTTCATACAAGGAACAACTGCATTCTCATTTATTTTCTATTTTCAAGTCCAACATAAGGCTAACAAGAAGTATTCGTGTAACAAAATTCTTCTGCTTGTGAACAAAGCAAAAGTCACATAGTCTCCTCTGCATTGCAAAGACTTAGGATCTATCTCTCAGTCTTAAAATCTTCCAGTTCCACAGATAAGTGACTCTGTGTCACACAAGTCCTTGGGATTCTCTGTGGTTATATTTCAGATCAGTGGTAATGTCTTTGTATCAATCATTCAGCTGAAACTTTACTGTTGAAAGTGATCTAGTCAAGTGATAACAGCTATTAAGACAGCAGCAATTTGGCAATTGCATTTAAATGATTAAGCTGAACTACGCACATATTGCAAACATGTCAGTGTATCTCAGAACAAGATGCCATATAACAAAATCTTTTTTTTTTATTTCATCTGTGTAAAATCAAAAATTTTGAAAGACGCTAAAAAAGTATGGATAAACAAATTTTTTTACCTTGACAAATATGACTCACAAGCAGATGCTTCTTATTCAGCACAAGTCTGTGATTTCTCTTCCAGTTAAGGAAAAGTGATTTGAAATATGAGAGCTACTACTTGGACAAGTGAGTACAACTATGAGTTCACTGTTTGAGTTCCTATTTATGTATTTTTTGTTGCAAAAGTCATAGTGGATTAGGTATTTCAGAAGATAAAATCCACATGTTGGCAAATTAGGCTGCTACATTTCCCCCATCTTCAGAGTGAATTAGTAGTTAGTTCATATAGCAGAATTTAAAATAGTTTTGTAGTTGACAAAATGGTTACACAGCTACTACAAATCAGTAAACACGAAATGTAAGTTGCATTTTATATAAACCTCTGGGAATAGGCACTGTGCTAAGAACTTTGGATATTATTAGTATTACTCAGTAATTTACTTTGATGAATGACTTTTCAACTTTACATTTCTTTCCTTTTATGGAAAAGCATGAAGGAAACCATGCATTATGACTATTAAGGGAATACTTGTACAGGAAAACCTGTCTGTGTATGACAGAAAGTAATTTTTTCTAACAGCTGTTCTTCATATGGCCTTAAAAGTAGCAGTAAGAATTTGAAATAACAGAGAAGATATGCTAGAATAGTATTATCAAAACTACAAAAAAAAAAAAAAAAAAAAAAAAAAGGCTTGCAAGCAGATAGCAGATTTCCTTGCTGTGCTCCATTATGTCTTTGCGTGTTAGACATTATTTCAGAACAGAGTTGACTCTCCTCAGCTCCCGAAGCACACTGGCGCCATACTAGAATGTAGCATTCTAGATGACTCCAGCAGAATTGTTCGAGTCATTTGACATTAAAATAATGTTCAGTGACTCTGTCATTTTCAAGCAATTTCCTGAATAATTTCCAATCTATTAATATACAGGAAACTGCTGCTTAACAAAGGTTGGATTCAGTGTATCCAGGAGCACCATCTAATTATTAACTTCCTTTATTATCTGAAATGAAACCTGCTATGATACAGACTCATTTTCAATATCAGATAGTGAATATGGAAATGATGCACACAACCGACATCCTTGTATGAAAAATGGGAGTGCACTTATATTTCATGTAGTCTAAGAAGTTTTATATGGAAAAATAAGATATGCTAACTATATAATGCTAGTGATGTACCGAATAGGAAAGAAAATATCTGTTTAACCACGAATTTGTTCTCTGCATTTGCAGCTAAGAATGTAAATTGGTCTTGCTGATTAGAGCTATAAAAAGCCTAGATAACATTTTCTTTCTTTGATGGCCTTCTTGACCTGAATAAAACAGAAGATCTGCCTAATCTATAATATGTACAACATAGATATTTTGACTATTTCTTTCAATTCTACCCTTGATTTTTTGTATCTTGATGTGACCTAGTAACAGTACTAAATGTCAAAAGTAAGAAATATGCATAACCTGACTCTTCAAGATGCTGAACTTACTTCAAAATCATATCCAATGTTTTTTGTACTTACTTATTATTTTTTAGATAGCTAACAATTCCAGCTGTGAAGTGTACACCTGATTATTTTTCCATGGCATCACAGAGTGTACACGTTAAAAAATGTCTGTTCCAAGCTACTTTAAGCTTCATGAAAAGAGCATTGCTTTGCTAAATTGTCTGACAATATATTGTGAGCCGGTAGGAACTGGATCATTAAAGAGTTTATTTTCAGCAACCAGAACAAATGAATGATGCTGGCAGATTGAAAGATATGACATATTTTTGTACCTTGATGAATACTAAAGATTGTCTCTTCAAGAAAAATTGAAGGCCACGGTTGTTCCCATGTCAAGAAATAGATAAGCCCAAGGGGAAAAGGAAAGAGAACTATGAGATAAAAATTGAACTGTTGAAACATGGTGAGTGAAATGCAGTAATTGTGTTAGTCATTATACTGTTGTCAATTAGATTAGCAAGTAGTTCTGGTAATGATACTGGATGGAGAAGTAGGGGAAAACTTATTTTAACTGTAACCACTTGGCTCACAGCAAATTACATAATAAGTGCCTTGGAATTTTTGAGCTCAAAGGTGTTTTTTTTTTAAACCTTGAAGTTTTGGATACTTACCTAAATCAATCTGGATCATTCTCTTCTCACAAGCACTATTTCTGGAAGGCAGAAAATACTTCTGATTCAAAATAGGCAGATTCCAAATACTCCAAATTGCAATTCCCAGTATTCACAAAGGAATCTTCTAGAAAGGTATCAGACTTCTGGTAAGGAGATCAGTTTAACAAAGCATTTGATGTAACAAAGGGGAAGACAATAGATCAGGGCAAGTTAGGGGCTAAGTCCTTGATAAACACTGGTCTGAGTCCCCATTTCAAGGAGCAGAACTAAATAACAAGAATGTGACCATGTGCAAGACACTGCCAATTACTTTGGTGATGAAAAAAAAGAAAGCAAACCATCTTTCTCATCTTTGCAGGCTAGGTGCAGCTTGGCTTTTGGCAGGAGATAGAAATGACACTTGTGGTTTCTATTTGACACTAATGTACAATATCTGGCAGTTCTTCAGTACATGTAGCTAATGTTAGGTCTATAAGAAGAGGAGAAAAGTGCCAGAGACATAAACAAGCTATAAAAAACATACTTCAGATCCTCATCTGTGTTCTTTTCTTGAGACAATCTAAATAAAGGTCTGATTTAATGTTATTATTGTAAACAAGATAGTACTCTTAGGAATATTCTTAATCTAGTTGTAACATGACATATGAAAGTCCTTTACATATGAAAGTTCAATTGTTTATTTAAGATTAACTGGTGTAAACTAATCTGAAATTAAAATACAGATATCCTTATAGCCTTTGCATTTTCATATCTGTTATTTTTTCAGGTAATACGTGTTAAGCTGGTAAATCTGTTAATGCAGAAGAAATGAAGTTTAAAATAAGGCTTTGAGCAGCAGAATTTTTGTTGTATTTGTTTCACTTAAGAGTAAGAAAGGAAACCTGTAATAATAGTCATGAGTCAAAGTTGTGGTGGAAAGCTTCAAACTGGAGCATCTGTTTTTGTTCACTAAAATTATGGCTTTAATAATTGCAAGATCATTGTGTCCAGTATTTATTACAGTGATGTTGTACTGATGAGACAAGTTTTATAAAACTCAATCTCTAATACATTCGTATTTTCTCTCTAGATGGAGGCCATACTTCAGATACATTACACTGCTGACAGATGAGTGGAGACTGCAGAATGCCTGTTCTATTACTAGCTTCACAGAATAATTTTCTATTCTTGCTATAGCTAAAAACATTTCTATGCATGTGAAGCCGTCTGGGCAGGAGACAGGGAACCTGAAATGCTACAACTTTGTCTATGACTAGAATAAGACTTAGTTAGTCAGGTGATAAACAGTTTTATGTTTCATTCATCTTATCTTTGGTAATTCCATGTGTTATCCATGTGTTATTTCAAGACGTAAGTTTCAACATTGCACTGAAAATGGAGATAAATGAAGAACAGAAGCTCATTTTAGCTTACATTCTCATCTTTTTTTTTTTTAATAGGAATCATAATTAGAAGATTCTTTTGAGTTTCTCAAATGCTTCTTCCTCTAGTTCATCTCAGTTTTTCATTTCTTGTGAAGAAGTAATTCTGGTAGACTTCTCAAGACTTCTCACTAGTTAGAAAGTTAATCACTGTAGAATAAAGTTTTTTTAAATCTACATTAGCAGGTAACTTGGCTCAGCAGCAGATTAGATATAACTTATGTCTACTATTTGAAGAAGTTGAGAATGGATGTTCTGAAATAGCAATATTCCTTAGATGAAACTTTTATCATAGACAAGATGCAAAGGAGATGGTTTAGGCTTTTGTGTTTCCATTAGGGTGGGGGGAAGGAGAGGAGTTTTGTTTGTATACATCAGAGATGCTCTACGAACTGAACTGATGCCTTTACAACAGGATGACTGGAAGATTTTCTTCTGAATTACACTACTTTTCTAAATAAAAATGTTACTACAGATGCAGCAAGTGAGCACTGCTCACTGCTCCTGCAACTGAAATAGTAGTAGGCTCTGTATTTGATTTAATTGAATGACAATATATTTATTCTATATTTTACATATTTTGAGTCCCTGTGATTTATATTTTACTTCTAATTTTCTCATTTTATGTTATTACTATTTTTGTAATTTTTGCAGAAAACAAAAACAATGTATAGCATATAGCATACCCTATCTTAAAGGATCACCACATCCTCAGTAGGCTAGAATTAGGTGAACTGAGGTCAGCACTAGTTTTGCTGAGTGATAAGTTTGTATTTATGAGTGCTGGCTGAGAATGGGGACTGTTTTTTTATTGTATACACTTCTGAATAATAACTGTCAGGACCTAGAAGAATAGCCCTATAAAGCAAAACAAAACAAAACAAAAGTTCCATTTTACAAAGGACAAAAATATGTTATAATCTTTAAGAGAAATATGGAAATTTTGATTGAATATAATGAATTTCTGCACCTATAGGCTGATATCTTCATTATCTCTACAAATGTAAGAGGTGGTAATTATGAATTGGAAAGGCTGATAAAGAACACAATCTTCTTTTAGTTTTTGCATGTTAAAGAACGAAAAAATTGCCATCATATTTGTCAAGTTAAAGAAGATTCTTCTTAGGAGAACAATAATTGGTCTTTAGAAATAAATAGACAGAAAAATTTGCCCTTTATCCTAGGTAAGTAGGTCACTTGAAAAGTACAACAAACACAAAGAGCACAAGAACATTATGTAATAGAGTTCTCAGCTACAAAACACTGTTTTTCAACAGTCACCACCATTAGCTATGCGTTTTTTATCAGCAGTGAGCAAGAGCCAGCATGTCACACTCTCAAATATCTTATTGGACATCTGGAATTTGGTCTATCTTTCACACTGCTGTTGCCACTGTTGAAATGCACCACCCACCACCTCACTGTGTTCACATCCACTGTTTGATCTCCATAAATGTTCTGCAAGCATTAATGAATGTCAATAGGTGTCATTTTTTCCACATGGAGGAATTCCATGCCCCCCTTTTGCTTTATATGTACTTTCATGTTG